GGGGAGGCAGCTGGTGCCAAAAGTACCTTGCGCCGCCGGATGGTCTCGTCTTCAAGCTGCTGCTAAGGTACTTCCGCGGCTGGCGTGGTTCGCTGCGAGGTCCCCTGTCGAGACGTATGTCTCTTCCCGAAAGCTTTTGCTTGCCTATGCACATCTCCCCCTGAGCGTCTGTCTGCCTCCGGTAACATGACTTGCGGCTCTGTCGCTTCCGCTTATCAGCCATACATCCCACCATTTGTTGACCCAATAGTTGAAGCGCTCATCGGCGAGGTGGGGTAGGTAGGTTGGAACTTGTAGGAAGGGAAGGTTCTTCACTCGTTTGGATCTCAAGGGAAGCTCGTCCATTGTCCGCTGAAGCTCGTCTATTGTTTGCTCAGTACCGTCTGCTTTCTGTATGCATTCCATATGAACGTAATCCCGACGCGGAGGCCCCCCGCAATAATGGTAACTAACCCACTCCAAGGCAACCGCACCGGAAGGGACGGCGCGAAGAGAACCATTTTCTCCCCGAGGCCGAGGCGGACCACCTCGACCAACCCGAGCAGAGCCTGAGGCTTGACGGAATGGGGCCACCCGACGCCAGTCAACTGCGCCGCCAACTCCTCTCCGTGCTCCTTGCGGGCCGCCCATTCCGGATCTTCTGACGAGGGTCCGCAGCCGTCGTCTCGGTCGGAGACACGCCGCCATCCAGCGTCCGTAGTAGCAGCTGCGAGCTACCCGTAGTAGGCTACTACGGGGACTGCGGGGCCGTCACGGTCCGCAAACCTACCTCCTTGGACCCAGTCGAGTGGAGTCTCCAGGTTGGAGGACCGACCAGCAGCAAACGTCCGGGCCGGGGCGCAAGACGGCTCTCCGGACCGGGTTGCGAGGACGGAGGCGCCGGCAGCGGATGAGACGTCCGGACGTTCCGACCGCGGGGTTGGCCACGATGATTCATTCGATACGTCGCCACCGACGCAGCGGGCGTAGCCGCGGTATACCTGCTCCGGCGGGAACGAAGGAGGCTCGAGCTGGGCGGCTTGCCCGTCCACTCGTCCCACGAGAGACAGCGGTCGGCCCTCCACGGGCGAATCCCAGGCCACTGCGCGATGGGACGACCGAGACATCTGCAAGAAGGGAGGGCCCGTGGGGATAGCTTGCCCGCTCCCACGCCTCCTTCTCCGTCCCTGCCCGTGTGCTGGGTACTGACATCCCAGATGGCTGGGGTGTATAGCATCGTCGAGGTGCCGAGCTCGTTGACGATCTCGTCGTTGAGCCGAAGAAAGCTCTCAGTGGCTGGCATCTGCCAGGGTGCGTCTGTTGATGCTGAGAGAGCAACGCTCAAAAAA